CTCACATCCTAAAGACCAAAACGCCTAACACCCTTCCACGCATCTACACAGCCGCAAACCAACAAGTTCCCTACGGCAAACAAACCACCCTCCCACTCCCACACGCCCCTGAACACGCATGTCTACGCCCTTCCGTCAAATCGATGCAGCGGCTCACTGGCTGCCAACACTAGCTGCAGCACGTATCCTCATTGTCACAAACTCCGAACCCTTCTCAACAGCCCCGCCCTGCTTGCTGCAGCACCAACACGCACTGCAACGATGATCCAACTGACAACGCTCACACCCGCAACGCACCACAGACCGGCCGCCTCTCCACCAAAAAATATGCCACACTCCTGCAATACAAACAGAGCTTCTTATCTGCACGCATCCAAACACCCACCAACACACGCCAACGAACCACAACACAGCCACACTGCACACTTGCGAAAGCCTGCCTCCTACACCAAACGGCAGAGTGGCTGGAAAGCAAAGCCATTGGAATTCACTCGGCACAATTCGCGAGACGCACCTCCTAAAACCCAAAACGCCTAATACCCTTCCACGCACCTGCATAGCCGCAAATCAACAACTCACCAACGGCAAACAAACAACCCTCCCACTCCCACTCAGCGCTGAACATGAATGCATACGCTCTTCCGTCCAGCCGAACCAGCAAATCACTGCCCACCAACAACAACTGCAGCACGTACACTGATGGTCACAAATTCCGAACCCTTCTCAGCAGCCCGGGATTGCTTGCTGCAGCCCCAACACGCAATGCAACTGCGACCCAACTGACAACGCTCACACCCGCAAGGCACCACAGGCCAGCTGCCTCTCCTCCAAAACCTATGGCCCACTCCGGCGCTACAAACACGGTTCCTCATTTCCCCGCATCCGAACACCTCCTTCCACACACCAACAAACCACAACACAACCACACTGTGCAGCTGCGAAGGCCTGCGTCGCAACCCAAACGGGAAAGCGGCTGGAAAGCGAAGCCATTCCACTTCTCTTGCCCAATGCGCGCCACTCACCAGCTACAACCCAAAACGCCTAACACCCTTCCACGCACCTACACAGCCGCAAATCAATAAGTCACAAACCGCAAACAAATCACCCTCCCACTCCCACACGCCCCTGAACACGCATGTCTACGCCCCTCTGTCCAGCCGAACCAGCAAATTACTGCCCACCAACACCACCTCCAGCACGTATCCTCATTGTCACAAACTCCGAACCCTTCTCAACAGCCCCGCTCTGCTTGATGCAGCACCAACACGCACTGCAACTGCGGTCCAACTGACAACGCTTACACCCGCAAGGCACCACAGACCGGCCACCTCTCCTCCAAAACCTATGGCCCACTCCTGCAATACAAACACAGCTTCTCATTTGCGCGCATCCAAACACCCCGTTCCACACACCAGCGAACCACAACACAGCCACACTGCGCAGCTGCAAACGCCTGCATCTCACACCAAACGACAACGTGGCTCGCAAGCAAAGCCATTCCACTTCTCCCGCCAAATACGTGCGACTCACTAGCTACAACCCAAAACGCCTGACACCCTTCCACGCACCTACACAGCCTCAAATCAACAAGTCACCAACCGCAAACAAACCACCCTCCCACTCTCACACTCCGCTGAACATGCCTACGCCCTTCCGTCCAGCCGAACCAGCAAATCACTGCCCACCGACACCAGCACCAGCACGTAACCTCATTGTCACAAATTCCAAACCCTTCTCAACAGCCCCGCCCCTGCTTACTGCAGCACCTACACGCACTGCAACTGCGATCCAACTGACAACGCTCACATCCGCCAGGCACCACAGACCGGCCGCCTCTCCTCCAAAACCTATGCCCCACTCCTGCAATACAAACACAACTTTCCATCTGCACGCATCCTAGCGGCCCCCTGCACACACCAGCGAACCACAACACAGCCACACTGCGCAGCTGCGAGGGCCTGACTCACGATTCAAAAGGCAAAGTGGCTGGAAAGCGAAGCCATTCCACTTCTCTCGCCCAATGCGCCCCACTCACATCCTAAAAATCACAAGGCCAAGCACTCCTGCACGCACCTACACAGCCACAAATCAACACGTCACCAACCGCAAACAAACCACCCTCCCACTCCCACTCGTCGCTGAACATGCCTACGCCCTTCCGTCCAGCCGAACCAGCAAATCACTGCCCACCAACACCAGCTCCAGCACGTATCCTCATTGTCACAAATTCCGAACCCTTCTCAACAGCCCCGCCCTGCTTGCTGCAACACCACCACGCACTGCAAATGCGATCCAACTGACAACGCTCACACCCGCAACGCACCACAGACCGGCCGCCTCTCCTCCAAAACCTATGCCCCACTCCTGCAATACAAACACAGATTCTTATTTGCATGCATCCAAACACCGCATGCCACACGCCAGCGAACCCCAACACAACCACACTGCGCAGCTGCGAAGGCCTGCCTCGCACCCACTAACGGCAAAGCGGCTGCAAAGCGAAGCCATTCCACTTCTCTTGTCCAATGCGCGCCACTCACCAGCTAAACGCCAGAGCACCTAACACCCTCCGACAGACCTACACAGCCGCAAAATCAAGAAGTCACCAACGGCAAACAAACCACCCTCCCACTCCCACTCCCCGCTGAACATGCATGTCCACGCCGTTCCATCCAGCCGAACCAGCGGCTCACTGCCTGGCAACACCAGCTGCAGCACGTGTCCTCATCGTCACAAATTCCGAACCCTTCTCAACAGCCCCGCCGTGCTTGCTGCAGCACCAACACGCACTGCAACTGCGATCCAACTGACAACGCTCACACCCGCAACGCACCACAGACCGGCCGCCTCTACTCCAAACCCTATGCCCATGGCCCACTCCTGGGCCACAAACACAGCTTCTCACTTGCACGCATCCAAACGTCCCTCTACGCACACCAACAAAACACAATACAACCACACTGCGCAGCTGCGAAGGCCTGCCTCAGGACTCAAAAGGCAAAGTGGATGGAAAGCGAAGCCATTCCACTCCTCTCGTCCAATGCGTCCCACTCACATCCTAAACACCAACACGCTTAACACCCTTCCACGCACCTACACAGCCGCAAATCAACAAGTCATCAACCGCAAACAAACCACCCTCCCACTACCACTCCCCGCTGAACATCATGCCTACGCCCTTCCGTCCAGCCGAACCAGCAAATCACTGCCCACCAACACCAGCTCCAGCACGTACACTGATTGTCACAAATTCCGAACCCTTCTCAACAGCCCCGCCCTGCTTGCTGCAGCACCAACACGCACTGCAACAGCGATGCGGCTGAAAGCGCTACCACCCGCAAGGCACCACAGACCGGCCGCCTCTCCTCCAAAACCGATGGCACACTCCTGCAATACAAACACAGCGTCTCAATTCCACGCATTCTAGCGGACCCGTACACACATCAGCGAACCACAACACAACCATACTGCGCAGCTGCGAAGGCCTGACTCGCAACCAAAACTGCAAAGCGGCTCAAAAGCTCCACCATTCCGCTTCTCTCGTCCAACGCCCGTGACGCACCAGCTAAAAGCCAAAACGCCAAACACCCCTCCACGCACCTACACAGCCGCAAATCTACAAGTCACGAACCGCAAACAAACCTCCCTCTTACTCCCACTCGCCGCTGAACACGCATGCCTACGCCCTTCCGTCCAGCCGAACCAGCAAATCATGGCCCACCAACACCATCTGCAGCAGGTATCCTCATTGTCACGAATTCCGAACCCTTCTCAACAGCCCCGCTCTGCTTGATGCAGCACCAACACGCACTGCAACTGCGATTCAACTGACAACGCTCACACCCGCAAGGCGCCACAGACCGGCCACCTCCCCTCCAAAACCTATGCCCCACTCTGGCGCTACAAACACAGTGCACGCATCAAAGCACGCCCTTCCACACACCAATGAACCACAACACGCCAGCGAACCACAGCACAACCACACTGCGCAGCTCAAACGCCTGCCTCGCACACACAAACGACAAAGCGGCTGCAAAGCGAAGCCATTCCACTTCTCTCGCCCAATGCGCGCTGCTCACCTGCTAAAACCCAAATCGCCTTACACCCTTCCACGCACTTACACAGCCGCAAATCAACAAGTCACCAACCGCAAACGAACAACCCTCCCACTCCCACACTCCACTGAACACGCATGCCTACGCCCTTCCGTCCAGCCGAACCAGCAAATCACTGCCCACCAACACCAGCTCCAGCACGTACACTGATGGTCACAAATTCCGAACCCTTCTCAACAGCCCCGCCCTGCTTGCTGCAGCACCAACACGCACTGCAACTGCGATTCAACTGATCACGCTCACACCCGCAAGGCACCACAGACCGGCCGCCTCTCCTCCAAAACCGATGCCCCACTCCGGCGCTACAAACACAGATTCTCATTTGCACCCATCCGACCGCCCCTCCCCACACACCAGCGAACCACAGCACAACCACACTGCGCAGCTGCGAAGGCCTGCATCGCACCCACAAACGGCAAAGCGGCTACAAAGCGAAGCTATTCCACTTCTCTCGCCCAATGCGCGCCACTCACTTCCTAAAACCCGAAACGGCTGACACCATTCCATGCAGCTACACAGTCGCAAAATCAACAAGTCACCAACGGCAAACCACCCTCTGACTCTCACTCTCCGCTGAACATGCCTACGCCCTTCCGTCCAGCCGAACCATCAAATCAAATGTCCACACACCAACGAAACACAACCACACTCCTCAGCCGCAAAGCCCTGGTTGGCAACTCAAACGCCAACGTGCCTGCAAAGCGAAGCCATTCCAATTCCCTCGCCCAATGCGCCCCACTCACCAGCTACAACCCCAAACGCCTAACAACCTTCCACGCACCTACACAGCCGCAAATCAACAAGTCACCAACCGCAAACAAACCACCCTCCCACTCCCATACTCCACTGAACACGCATGCCTACGCCTTTCCGTCCAGCCGACGCAGCGGCTCACTGCCTGGCAACACCAGCTGCAGCACGTATCCTCATTGTCACAAATTCCGAACCCTTCTCAACGGCCCCGCCCTGCTTGATGCAGCACCAACACGCACTGCAACTGCGATTCAACTGACAACGCTCACACCCGCTAGGCACCGCAGACTGGGCGCCTCTCCTCCAAAGCCTATGCCCCACTCCTGCTATACAAACACAGATTCTGATTTGCACGCATCCAAACACCCCAGTCTACACACCAACGACCCACAGCACAACCACACTGCACAACTGCGAAAGCGCGCCCCCCACACCAAACGGCAAAGCGGCTGGAAAGCGAAGCCATTGCAATTCACTCGGCACAATTCGCGAGACGCACCTCCTAAAACCCAAAACGCCTAACACTCTTCTACGCATCTACACAGCCGCAAATCAAAAACTCACCAACGGCAAACAAACAACCCTCCGACCCCCACTCTCCGCTGAACATCCATGCCTACGCCCTTCGGTCCAGCCGAACC